GAGAATGACACTTTTAATAGTTCCACTGAATTAATTTTACAAGCCACAATAATGCAGAAATGTACAGACATTTACAGGATACTGTACAGGCAGTTTCTGTCATATATTAGTGCTCTTGCTATATACATATAGTACAGCCTGCAGGAAGCCTTTGCGTGGACAAGGAAACCTGCACCCCTGCGCAGGGCACCCCGAAATGGAGCTGTTGCCCCAGGGCTGCCGAGTCGCACAGCCTCACTCAGGTCAATTTAAGCAGAGCTCGTCCCTGAGCTTTCTCGGGCACTACCGGGGGGAGACACCACGTGGGGCAGAGCCAGGCACCCCCTTGCTTTGCTCGCCCCAGTCTCTTTTAGGGGGTTTTGTGGGACAGAGACCCCCAAAGAGATGCTCTGGAGGGAGTGGGAGCAGCCTCCGCCATGGCGGCGTTTCCACCTTCCTGTTCCTGCCCCAGTGGCAGGGGCCCTGTTCCTGCCTCAGTGGCAGCCGCAGCTCCCAGCCACCATGTCGTCGTACTGCTTGAGGACCACGTTCTCGTCATCATCGAAGTAGAGGAGGTTGATGGAGTAGAGCTTGTCGGGCACACAGCAGGGGCTGCTGACGCCCTCGCTCAGCTTGAGGGCGTTGATGATGGACTGCACGGTGGCATGGTTTGTCGGCCGCATGTTCTCACCCAACGGGAAGGGACAGGAGCCCTTGCAGTGGTAGGCATTGTACCCTCGCGGCGAGATGATCCAGCCGGACCAGCCGATCTCCTCAAAGTCCACGGACAAGGGATGCCTCTGGCAGGGCTGGAGCCGGTCCAGCGAGCGTGTGCTGCGCAGCCCGGTCAGCTTGGGCACTGACATCTTGGCGGGGAGAATGGGAGCCTGAGGCTGTAAATCTGCCAGAAAGGAGCAGCTGATGCCATTAGCCATTGCACGAGCCTGGGAGGAGGGAGAACATGGTGCAGCCCCCCTGGCCACCCCTCCCCACAGGTTTTGTCTGCAGCTGTCTGGTGCAGCGAGCCCTTGGTCACAGGCAGAGCCAGCAGGAAGTGACAACCTCACAGCCTGTGGCTGCACTCATCAGGGCAAGCAAAGTCCAGATTTACATCTGCGAGTTTGCACCCCTGCACAGACTAAACCAGAAAGGAGGTGGCCTTTCCCTCTGGCCAGAGAAGGAGCTTTGGATTTGAAGGAGCCCACGTGCAGGGAGCACCCCAGTGCCCTGTGGGCGAGGGGATGGCAGCACCGAGGGAGCCATGCCAGGGTGTGTGGGACCTACCTGGGAAGCTGGCCATGGGCAGGGACGCTCCCCGGCGCCCGTCGTCCGTGAACAGGACCAACATGGGCTTCTTGCTCTCGTGGTGGTCCCTGCTGGATGCGAACTGCAGCAGTGGGGGATCGAGCAGGCTCCCGCCCATGCCCTGGACCGTCACCAGCAAACCCTGGTTGCTGCTTTCATCTTCAGTCCAGTCGCGAACCTGGGGAACCAAACCAGTGTCACCATGGCGCCGCAGGCCAGGACAGGCACCGCGCCGGTGTCCCCACGGCAGGAGCCAGGCCAGCAGACCCAGCGCCCTGTCAGCAGCAGGGCAGCATGAACCAGGACCCCCGTGGCTACGCTCCATCTCCCAGCTGTGGGAAGGGGCTGTGCTGCTCTGGGGCTGCGGCACAGGGGACAGCGCAGCAGGATCCAGCACCGGTGTTACCTGCGGAGCAGTGGGACCGGTCTGGGGCAGGATGGAGCAGCTCCCCGGGGCTCTTGGCAGGGCTCTTAACCCCCCACCAGCGGCTCCAGAGGGGATACCCCTCCACATTGCTGCAGAGACTACAGCTAGGACATTGCATCAGAGCCTAAAAGGCCACTGTGGGTGAAATGGGTTAAAAAAAGCTCCTGCATGCAAACCTGCAGGGTTCCCTCTGTGCCACGTGAACCAGGGGAAAAGCAACTCACAGCCTGTGTGACAGCAAAGACCTCCCAGCCAGAGCCCTGCAAGGAGACGAGCCTGGCTGCCAGCAGCTTCTTCCCTCCGGGGGCATCTGGCTCGCTCTTCTCCAGCACTTGGTAGATGCTGACCTGGGGAAGGCAGCAAAGGGAGGTTACCACCAGCACGTCCTGCCCAAGGGGAAAGACCCCAGACATAGGTACTGGGGAAAAAAAAGATGGGAGACGGGGGAGATGCCAGCTTGGATTTATCACAACCTGCCTTGGCTGGTGCATGCACAAACCAGCATGATATTTAATACCATTTAACCATATTGCCATGGTTAAACCATCGTGATTCTCTGTGCAATGCAGCAACATTCAGTCACATGAATTTCCCAGAGCCAGGCTGCGCTCCTGCTGCAGGCAAGTGAGTGCAGTGTGCCAGTGACATCCCCGGCCACAGGCTGGGGGACATCCCTGTTCCCATCCCCACCCCCATCCTGTCCCTACCCCCATGTCCATCCCGTCCCTATCCCGTCCCCCTCCTCACCTGGCAGAAGTGGTGCCTTTTGGGCCCGTCGGTGGCCCTCGGCCAGAGGCGGAAGAGGTGCAGCTCTGCTGTCAGGATCTTCTCGTTCTTGGCCACACTGGAGAGGGCAAAGAGGAACCGCATCTTTTCGCCGTGAGCTGGAGGGAAGGACGGGTTGAGAAGCAGAGCCAAACCAGGGGCAGCAACTCCACTGACCACGCTTGGCCCCTTCCAGCAGCCCCGCCCCCAGCACCACTGGGACACACCCCCCCCTTACTTTTATCCAAGAAGCTGCGGACCGTGTTGCCTTCCAGGATGTCAGGGTTCTTGGTGACACCATCTGCGTTGGCGACGGTGTTGAACAGCTCCACCCTGTACTGGGGCGGCT